TCCTCCTCCTCCTCCTCCTCCTCCTCCTCCTCCTCCTCCTCCTCCTCCTCCTCCTCCTCCTCCTCCTCCTCCTCCTGCAGTGAGTGAATGCAGTGGCACGATTGAATGCAGTGGACTGCAGTGTCACTAGCAATTCCTGAAGCGTCTGGCTATTCAAAATGTGGCCCGGGAATGGAGTTCTGGGAACTCGAAGACCAGGAAGTGGCCTACAGTTGGCTCCGGGCATCCAGAATGTGGCCCGGGAATGGAGTTCTGGGAACTCGAAGAGCACGAAGTGTGTGACTGTTGCATCCGGGCATCCAAAATGTAGCCCGGGAATGGCGTTCTGGGATGTCGAAGAGCACGAAGTGTGTGACTGTTGCATCCGGTTATTCTAAATGTGGCCCGGGAATGGCGTTCTGGGATCTCGAAGAGCACGAAGTGTGTGACTGTTGCATCCGGGTATTCAGAATGTGGCCTGGGAATGGAGTTCTGGGAAGTCGAAGAGCACGAAGTGTGTGACTGTTGGTGAAAAACGAGCCCGGCACCCTGCCGCCCGGCAACTCCCCAACACCTGCCCGGACCCCCCTGTGGAGTGATCTGTGAGCTCTTTTGAGTCAACTAGAAACCTATCAGTCTTTGCTGTTAGGTAAATTGTCTTTTGGGCTTTCCGACGTTACAGGACGGCCCAAGAGGCGCCCAAGACTGCCCCAATACGGCCCAAGAAGCTTCCAAGAGGGCCCCAGGACAGCCCAAGAGGGCCCCAAGACGGCCCAAGAGGCGCCCAAGATGGCCCAAGAGGGCCCCAAGACGGGCCCAAGAGGGGGCCCAGAGGGGGACCACGAACCGCAAGCTCGAGCCTTCCGCCCCAAGAGGCCGCCAGGAGGCCCCCAGGAGGCCCCTCAAGAGGCCCCAGGAGACCCCAGACGTCCAAGGACGCCCCCACGACGCTTCGCGTCACCAATTTCTTCTCACAACGATTCCTGGGTCTGTGACTCGACAGAACCTAAGCGCGCGCGAAGCGCGCGCGTGGTTCTAGTATATATATATATATATATATATATATATATATATATATCCACACTCATGTGCGCGTGTATGTGTATATATATATATATATATATATATGTTGGGGGCGAGGGGCGCGCGACGCAGCTCGACGGGCGCGCGCCGCGCTGGCCGGCCCGGCACTGGCCAGCGCGAGCTGGTTATCTCTTGCTCGGCGTCAGAGCCCGCGTTCCCGTCGCCGCTGCGCCCGCTCTTATCCCGGGTCCTCAGGGGGGGTGGAGTTGACCGCGAAATATTCCAGGCCGCCCAGTTTCCCTACACGAATCTCGGGATCCAGCGCATGCCCCGCGGTGTCCGTGGAGATTTCTCGAAGGTCCCCCGCGGGATCAAGAAGGGGCGCCCGCTTCTGGAACTCCATGGTCGCTGACTGCCGACCCGATCCTGCGGGTGATAGGGAACAGGCTGCCGGGCAAAGCAGGCAGTCCCGCTGCGTTCGCTGACGACCTGGGGATTGGCCCGGCCGACGCGGTCGAAGCGCTCGCGCAGGTTCCCCCGGCGCCGCACCTTGCCGAACGATTCGCGGGGCTCAGTTAAAACTTGCCGAGCGTCGCCGAAGTGCGCAGTCGTTGCCGTGGAGAGCTTCCCCCGTCAAGAGTTTGATGCCAGGCTGCCGCAGCGCGGCATAGTGTTTCCAGATGCCACATTGCGAGAAAGTGAGAAATATTTGGGCATGCGCGCGGGGGGTGATTCGGACGTCAAGAGCTGAGGGGGGGGGGGCCGGGGCCCCGCGAACAATGCGTGCCGTCGCGCTCGGTAACGCAAGGCGCTGAAGATTTGAAAAACTGTGCTGGGATGCAATGTCTATGCGTTCTCGTGCCTGAGCTATGTTGCCCAGTTCTTTTGTTCGTCTTCGTTCCCTCTGAAGCAAATGCACCACGCGCTGCTGTCTCTCGCGGACAACCCGAGGAACGCCGCGGCTTGCGAGCTTCTGCATTATCTCCGAGATGCCCTGCATGGCGAGAGCCGCAATGCATCGAACCGCCCTCCAATCGAAAGCTTTCGGAGATATACGCAAGCTGATCGGAGAGTGGACGGCGCAGATGACCGCGACATCGCATGGAGGAGTAACCCGCGGCTTAAGCATACTGTGTACTTCCATGTCCGCGAGGATTGGGAATTTGCGCGGACCCTCCCTATGGTTCCTGAGTTCGGTGTCGTGTGATCTTAGAACTCTATGTAACGCTTTGCGTGCATCGGCGCGTGTCCACAAGCTCGTAAGTCTGCATGCGCGTTTTGTAAAGAAAGACGCGTGGGTGACCATGTTGTCCATTACCCTTCCTGTCCTGCTTGTCTGCCCTTGCTCCGCTTGTTGCCCCGCCTTCCCTCCGCGTTCCTGTTTGCCTCAGGCTTTACAGGATCCGCCCTCCTCCCCTGTCTGCCTTGCTCGAAAGCTCAGCTCGCGCCCATCGCCGTGTATCTTGACACTGCGTGCGCGCTTCATCATTCGCATTGCCACAAGGGATGTCTGGTTGGCGCGCTAATCCTCCAGGGAGGTTCCGCGAGAATCGCTCAGCCTCAGCGGCGCCGCCCAGCCTTAGCCGCCCTGATCAGAGGATGATGGAGGGTTTGTTGGGCCTCGTCTCGTTCATCATCTTGTCAGCCTGCCCTTTTTCTTTTGGGGTCACGCGCG